ATTAGGTAAACCTAAAAGAGAAAATCAAGGCTAGCCCCGTTCACATGAAACAAGCTCGCCCCAGTCACCCACCTTTCGCTAAAGTTTGTCGAAACCAAGCGTTTTTTTATCAGTTCTAATCTTCATCTTGAGCTGATGCTCAAAGAATCGTATAAGATCCTGATGAGAAAGATGGTTGCCTCGCAAGACTTCCTACTGTGGCGTCGTCCAAATCACCATTCGAGATTTGTTTCAATAACTCCATTTTGTTTTTTGCCTTTAAAAAGTCCACATTGGACGAAACGCGACTTATAAAACTACAGATTTCCTATTGTCTTTTTTCTTAATACATATTGTCTATTTCTAGAGGTTAATTCTGAGAATTTCAAACACACACACACACACACATAGACCGAAACGTCCGACGTTGACTTTATATTAACATTAATACAGCATAATTGCATATTAAGATTTTTGTTTGTTTTTTCTGTATATTTTTCTTCATACTGTCGGATCTATATCCATATATTTGCTTACATATATATATATATATATATATATATTGTGTGTTCATTGAGGTAAGTTTTATCCAATAATTTAGACACCTTTTGTCTGTTTATTTTTAATAGGATCCGTTTATATTCTCAGATGCGCTTTTTTGGTGTCGGTACTTGTTAGGGGACCTTACCCATAATAATGGACTATTCCATACGTAATAAATACTGCGATTCAAGAGGAAGCAGAGAGTTTAGTCGGAAGTCGCGCGACCGGCTGATCGGTTGAACTCTCTGTCTTCGGGCGGGGAGGAATCCGAACGAGGCTACGCCGAAGGGCGGAGTCTCTTTCGGGGAGGTAAACCGACCCTGAACCTGTTTATACGGGTTCAAAGGGGCATATTTTTAGCCGAGCTCACAGGCTCGGAGATCCCACGTTAAACCGGCCTTGTGGCACATGATGCCCTCGTGGGGGGGTGGCTAAATACCGTTCAGTCAGAAGTCTGGAGTGAGGTCAGTCAGAGCGAGTCAGTCAGTCGAGTCAGAGGCAGTCCGAAACAGAGTTGCGTTCAGACAATTACTACTAAACCTGATTGTTCGTATTAACACTTTCTACTTCTCTGTATATATTCCTGTTTGTAATATATATGTATTATTCCATATCCGTATTCGAGTTCTTCTTTATTGGTTCTACCTTGGACTATCACCGTAGTACAAGGATCCGGACCATAACAGTATTATAGGACGAAAGAAAATTACTGTGTTGATACACACTATTTTATTCCGAGTACTTTCGACATTAATACAATATCATCTTTGTCTTGGCGGTTGAGTTTTTATTTGAATGACATGTCTAATATCTCTAAACATTTACAACAGCATTCTTGTCCACATTCGCAATTTAGAAAAATTCTTCTCAGAAATAAATCGATACTTTTTCATGAAAATAATAAAGATAAACTAAAAATCGCTGAAGCTATATATATTTTTAAAAAATGAAACCAAACCATAGCAAAATTAATTATGAATACTGTACAAATGCTATAAAATGTTTACAATAGATAAACTAAAATATCAAGGTCTGTATTAATAGCTTCTCATACTATTTATATTCATTTTCAAAAAATGAGCTCTTCGCACATCATAATTAGTTATCTCCCCTAGAGCGTAAACATACAACACATGGCACATAAATTTAGCGGTCGTCACTCCGCACGTAAAATTATCACTTTTCAGATGAACATAGCAATTTTGTCTTTGGAAATAACGAACACGACATTTTTGTCTTAACAAGACACCCTGAGGATGATAGTGTGTTATAATCTAAAGTACTCAAAATAAAAAAAATAAATTCCTCCTTTCTTTTAATACCGACACCAGAAACCTCATCCAAGAATATGAGCGCATCCTGTGAAAAATAGGCCGCTAAAACTTATTTAAATTATTCAACAAAATTGCCTCAATATATATATATATATATTAAGCAAATATAAATGGATATAAATCCGACAGAATGAAGAAAATATCTGGAAAAACAATACAAAAATCCTTAAAATGCGATTATGTTGTTTTAATATGAATGAAATGTCGACGTCTGACGTTTCGGTTTAATAACCTTCTTCAGGACAATAATTATTAAACCGAAACGTCAGACGTCGACATTTCATTCATATTAAAACAACATAATCGCATTTTAAGGATTTTTGTATTGTTTTTCCAGATATTTTCTTCATATATATATATATGTATACAAGTATGGGATTGGTGTATACGGAATAAATGCCAATAATCAACAATTACTATTTCTAAAACAGTGCTCAATACAGAGTAGAGCAGATATAATTATTTATTCAAAAAGTATAACATAAATATCTTCAACATCATCACTTGATAAGAAACCGGAGGTGTTGAAATAAAATGGCTATTTTTGTAGTGATTTTATAAAATATTTATGTTAAAATCTTTAAATAAATAATTATATATATATATATATATATATATATATATATATATGCTGATATTGCTTA